GGAGGATTCCGGTGGAAGCTGCGATTCCCTCTCGTTCAGTCAGCGTTCAGCTTATAGAAACGGTGCATTCAGAGAGCCGGGGACAGTTAGGAAAAGAGCAGGAAACGCGGAGAAATGGGGACAGCCCTGCATCTTGGGAACACTGCCCCGCCCTGCCCCACACTGAAAGCGTTCAGGGCACTCGAAGGTTTACCTTGATTACCGTTGAATAGCGACGTATTGGTCAGAGGCGAGCTGAGGGGCTCACGCGTTTGATTTCATCACACCTCGAATTCCGGTGAGTCCAGTTTCAATGTGAGCAAGTTACACGCTCCCTTCTCTTTTCGGAGAATGAGCGGTAGTCACAGAACCAGGCGTCGTGTGGCGTGTGTCCAGTGCTTCTTGCAGTTAAACGAACTTGACCGTTTAGCGCCCCTTAACGTGAATAAAGATTTGCAGTCAGTTTGTGCTGCACACGTGACATGTCACGTGACGATGTAAGGATAAAAGACCGAGTTTCAGGGCCACCGGGCGTGTTGCAGGGCGTGTGTCCTGGACGGTGCATCTCGTGTGGTTTACTCTTGAAGCAGGACACGCGGGCGAAGCGGGTGCTCTGAGCTCCTGCACCGTGCGGAACTGAGCGCGGGGCCTGGCGCTGTCGCGAGAAACAGCGGCTTACACAGTAACGGCCCCCTAACCGCAGTTAGATGCCTCAGGATCTGGGAGATGTAAGAAGCTGCTTTAAACCAGAAAATGCCAGAGAAAACAAATGAACAGAGCTATTCGTAATGAAGACTGTTCTCTTAGCAGAGAGAAACAACTATAAACACGCAGCAGGTATTTAGAAAGTTCGCCGAATTTGTGATCTTGGATCAAACTTTAAATTACTTGAGGAAAAAACACACAACTGAATGGACCTTTGTTTATACGATATGAAAAATAAATTGGATTCATTGTTTAGGCATGTGTAGTGGCAGAGCGCAAGTAAAGTTCATTAAGTAGGAGGGTTTTGCCTTATACTTTTTTCTTCTTAAGCAAAGGGCAGAAATTGTTCTTTGATTGATATATTACTAATTTACATGAAAATACAGCATTATAAATTCTTTTTGTAGATACTAATTACCTAGTAAGCCCTTATTAAATATAGTTTACAGATATGATCATCAAAACACCTTTAAATTGTGATATTGTATCATTTAAACCAGGTACAGCCACACAGTTTGTCTAGCTCTGAATTGAATTTGACTCATATTATTGCCTAACATTTGTAGTGGGATCTGGTTATTGGCAAACAAATTTTTTTATTTTTAAAGGAACTGGAAAAGCAGAATTGGTGAAGGGGATGCAAAGTTCTAAATCTAGAATAAATTTAGCTATGCCAGTATTTATTGGGAATAATTTGTTGGAAGCGGGCATAGAAATTTAATCAAAAGACATGCGTTTTTCTTGTGTAAACTAGAGATTTATGTTTCTTAATAGTTAAGAATTTTGTCCACATGCACGTCATATAAATACCTAATAAACAGTAGAAGTAAGAGAAAATGTACTTGGTAAGAATAACATAAAGCATCCCATCGATCATCAATTTCAATCTTCTGTTTCCCATTTCGTCCCGCAGGTACCAAGTCTCCTTCTGGACGACTTTCAGAAGTTAGAAGCTCGTCCATGTTTTTCTGATTCTTCATGGTGAGTTTCTTGAAAGATTTTGATCCCTAAGATTCCTGAAATCACAGATCATTTTAAATATAAATTCCTAACGTCAAAGCATCGCGAAGCGAGTGGTACCCGTGGCCGTGAGAGTGCAGGTGAAACAAAAGCAAAGGCCTCAGTAGAGAAGTGCTCTGGCCCACGGAGACAAGAAACATTAATAGAAGAAAAGAGCACTTTTAATTGCCAATCAACCATTAAAATAGCATGTGAGGTAGCTTTTAAATACCCGTTTTGGTTTGTTTATTTAATTTGAGGGATATATTTAGTTGCTGCTTAAATAAAATCGGAAAGATATAAAGAACCTTTTTTATGATACTTTCTTTTTTACCTTAGAGATAAAAATGTTTGGCATCTGATTGACTCTAAGAGCTCGTCTGGAACGGGCTGATGTGTTGGCCAAAGATGTATTGATTTTTATCTAAAAGGCAGCAAGGGAACCATTTTCAGGGTCAAATAAACATTCTGTGTCTGACTCCTTCCCCACACTGATTGCAGGAGCCCGCTCTGGATTTTTTTTAAAAAATTGATTTTAGAAAGGAAAGGGGANCAAATAAACATTCTGTGTCTGACTCCTTCCCCACACTGATTGCAGGAGCCCGCTCTGGATTTTTTTTAAAAAATTGATTTTAGACAGGAAAGGGGAGAGAGAGAGGGGGAGAGAGAGAAACACTGATGTGAGAGAGACGTAAGCAAACTGCCCCCCGTATGCGCCCCGGCTGGGGATCGGACCCGAGACCTGGTGCTCAGATGAGGCCCGACCAGCTGAGCCACACCAGCCAGGGCTCCCCTAGGATTTTTAAGCACAGTTTTTTCTTTTTTCGTGTNAGAGAGAGAGAGGGGGAGAGAGAGAAACACTGATGTGAGAGAGACGTAAGCAAACTGCCCCCCGTATGCGCCCCGGCTGGGGATCGGACCCGAGACCTGGTGCTCAGATGAGGCCCGACCAGCTGAGCCACACCAGCCAGGGCTCCCCTAGGATTTTTAAGCACAGTTTTTTCTTTTTTTGTGTTTTTTTGTAGCTCCTGTGCAGTCACAGCCATTTAGGTCGTAACCAGCAACAGTTCAGATCCATTTTCTAGGACAGAGGTTCGTAACTTTGTGTTGGTAATTTCCCCAATAAAATACACACGGTTTTGTTTCTATGCATTTTTCTGGCAAGAAGCTATCATTTCATTTGCTGAATTATCAGTGATTCTATAGCTAAAGAGCAAGTTTATTTTGACTGAAGTATGTGTTTGGGGACAGGTGCTGGGATTTGGATGATCCAGGTAAGAGGGTCTCGCTTGACCCAACCGCGAGGAAGCACAGCGATCGGGTGTGGGGGAGACACGGCGCTGCTCAGTTCGTGAAGAAGGAACTGAGCCCTTTACTGTGACTTAGTGAACGTAAAGCTCTGTTTTTGTACTTTTCCTTCTTTGCAAATATCACACATGCACGTCTTAAGGAAAACGTATTAAATCAAGATAACTATAAAAAGATTTACATTTATTTGACTTAGGGATACTTTTTAAAATATGCGATTATCTCATTACTAGGAAGCTTTTAAAAAAAATTTCCTCGGTATAATTTCTGCCATATTTTTAAGAAATCACTTATTTTTTGCTTTATTATTATCTGAGATAAATTTATGGTCAGTTACTGCTTGTTGGTTAATGATGTTTCTTTAAAGATATTTGGAAAACCTAATATGTACTAATTATTTTCAACACAGAAACTCCTCTTTTGAAATCGTTCATCTTACTTACATAACAAAAGAACATCAAAAGAACATTATTCATTAGTTTTTATTCCTGGGTTACAATTCAGAATAAAATATATATATATTTTTTAAAGACAGAATACAGTGAATAACCATCTTGACTCTGAAAGTTATTCAGAGAAAATTTCAAGATACTTCTAATATTTAACCCAAGTCTGGCTTCCCAAAGTTAGCTCACCTTTGGGCTCCCCGAGTCGAAGTGAACGCTTTTCGGTCCATTATTGGGCTATGTCTCTACCAAATAGAACTCAAAGTACAGGAACTTTACAGTCGTTTCTATTATAACATTTGTTAGCTGAGATTAAATGGGAGAAACTTGGAACTTCAATGTGGAGCTCGGAAGTCTGATCTCTTTTACAGCAGTTTTTAATCCAAAGAGCTCTGAATAAATTCTAATTCATTTTGGGATTCTTTTCAAACTTCGTTTCTGCAGAGAAGTGTGGCCTCGTTTCTTTTATCCACACGTATGGAGCCATCCTTGACTTTTAATGAAGGGTAACGCAAAAGCTAAAAAGTTAGAGACGCTCAATATGCTTTATTATAAGATTATCAAACAAAAAATAATTTGGACACTTTTGGGGGGCTTAGGTGGGATTTCATTATTATTTTTACATGAGACAGCATTTTCTTCCTTGTGAAACAGAAAGACCAGACTTTGCGATGACCCAACTCTCAGTGGTAATAGGCTTGCAGGAGTTACTCAGCTCTCAACTCAAACGCCGAGCTGTCCATCCCTTTGTAAGGGCCACGCGGCTGTGAAATAACGGAAACAATTGCCCTTTGAAAGCGGGGTTCTGCTGGAATCCGGGCAGCACCTGCTGTTTCTCGCGGGCCGTGCGGCGGCCAGTGTTGATGTTGGATGACCTCGTCGGTTACAGTGACGGAGCCATGGACAAGGGCTGTGGTACACGATCTTTCGTGGCTCTGGAGGAAGGCCCGTGTCATTTTTTAATTCTTGAACGCTGAGCGTTAGACTAACGTAAGGATTAAAAGCTGAACGCTGGTGTCATTGTCCCCATTTTCTATCTAAATCCTTTTAATCCGAGGGAGGAGATGTTGGAGGACCTAGAAGGTTTTGTAAAGTAATCTACTTGAAATGATGAAATCTCTGAAATGTGAGCGTCTCTCCCCGTGTGGCAAGGAGCCGCTTTCGAGTAGAAGTGACTCTCCATTCCTGCTGCGGAAAAAAATTAATTTTCGCAGCAGATATAGAGGATTATTTCCAACTGTAGATATGCAGCCAACTAGCGTATTTAGCCAGGCTAGAAACTGTTCTGTTCTAAACCTGCATAAACTGTGGCTATATAATTATAATAATGATGGTCTTATTTATTGGTTCTATGAAATGTTTGCAAATACAGAAGTAGACACATGGCTTCAACAATCAGGTGACAGATGCGTAATAAGTATCTTGATTTTTATTTTTATTAAAATGTGTTTCTCTGTATTGCATCATTTTTAAAGTACAAAAACACACACACCTGCTCATGGTTGTCATTGCATTAATTATAAAAATATTATGAACATGAATGAGGCATTTTTCAAATAGCAAGTATTTATGAAAGATTAGGGGCCCAGCCGGGGCCCGGGAGACACGGGAGTGAGGCGATGCATCGCCGGC